GTCTACAGCAGTGGTTTCTTGAAGTGTGGTTCCCACACTAACAGCATCAGCATCAGTATCATATGGGAACTTGTTATCAATGCACAGACCCCACCAGAAATCTACTAAATCAGAAACTGTATTTTAATAAGCTCTCTGGGTGCGTCTGATGCATGCTAAACTTTGAGAACCCCTGATAGAGAGAAGTTTATTAAGTTGGAAATGGAAATTGAACTTCTAATACATTCTTATTTTGCATATTAGAGATTGCAGGTTTTTCTTGGGTACAGTTAAGTTTGGGAATATTCTGGCTTTAATAAATGACAAGTGAGTCTTCTTCTTAGTGAGCCCTACACCTATGTTCTCCTTCATCCCTACAGTCAGTCTTCCAGGTCAGGACCTAATGTCTTACCCCTGGTATTGTAGTGGCTTTCTGACTAACTAGTCTCCGTGTACTAACTAGTCTAACTGGTCTCCGTACGCTAACACATTTTCTTGACTATAAAATGAATTTTTTTCATATGTTTTCATTTCTGAAATAAAGATGCATCTTACAGTCAATAAGTAAATTTGATGAAGTGGTTTTTTTTTTCTTATTTTCCACAAGATTGTTTTTATACCAAAGACCTAGTTTATAATGGTGGAAATAAGATATTTTCCTATGGTGTTTTGCTTCCTCATGCATCTGATTGCCCTTTCCCTGCCCTCTTGTGCCCCGTTTTTCTCATACTTCAGGCATCTTCGTGTGAAAAATGTTCATTCGTCAATCTGCTAATTTTAAGAAAGACCTCAGTGAAAGAATGATGCATTGCATAAACTTGAACTCAGAGCAGTCACATGCTCAAGGCTAATACTCTTTTCATTAAAAAAGTTTGCAGCTGTTTATTTTCAGCTTAAATTGGAGTTTTTGCTTATGCCTGGCATATCCTCACCAGCATCTTCAGTGGCTCTCTCTGAGCCTATTTCTGTAGTTCATGAATCACCGCTTAGGAAGCACAGCAGAGTGCACAGAGCAGGATTCCCGCAGTGTGAACCCTCTCTCCATGTGCTACCGCTCTTTTTCCTCGCCTACCTCTCTGTCTTTTAAAATTTATTACATTGTCTTACTTTGCTGCTCTGAGGAGCACAGGCTTTTTCCTGTAAGCTAGGTTCTTTATGAGCCTCTAAATTTGGATGTAGCACACAGCAGCTAGGTTATTGTAATAGCTTCCAGGATTCGTTGGGAGGTCTAGGTTGAGCCAGAGTATCTACGCATCCATGCTGATTACTAATAGTCTTTTTCTTCACTTCCCAGCTCCAGCTTTTCCCTTGGTCCTATAGGCCTTCTTTGGGTTTCTCATTAATTGTCACAAATACGGTAGCCAGGGGATGGCACCAAGGTAAGCAGGCCTCCTTGTGGGTCCAAATGATGGGATATTGCAAGAAAAGTTTCTAAATTAAGTTCACATAAACCCAATTTCTGCCTCCCAGCCCTAGCTACACATTAGAATCGTCAATTAAATTTGACTCTCTGAAGGTGGAGTTTGAGCATCTGTGTTTCAGATCTCTCTGGGTAATGACTAATGTCTAGTCGGCGCTGGGAACCACTGATGAGCTCCCAGAATGTGGGCTATTTTACTTGTGGAGATTGGTGATCAAGCCTAAAATCGCACCTTTGTGTCCGAATAAGCTTAACTAGCTAATAACAGACATGATTCTTACCGCCTGCTGAGTGTCATTTAAACTCTGTCTATAAGCAAGTTATATTTATGTCAGCAGAGCTAAAATAATAAAATTTAGCTGATTTCTTAGAAAACAAGAGAGGAACATAGTCAAATAGGGAACAACTCTATTACACCAGGGTTTGAGCAAGGGAAGTGTCCTCATTGTGGGCTTTGAGCTAATGTTATAGTGAGAAAAAGACATTGATTTTCATTGGGCCCAGGAGGGATACAATATATCCACAGTATCAATTAATTCATTGTTGAGTAAAGTACCTTATTATGGAGGTACTTTACTACATCTGGAATATACCCTTGACATCTTTTATACCTAAATTTATACCACTGAAAGGATTCATTATAATCCAATTTATTGAAATGTAAAAAAATAAAAACACATGCATTGTAAAACATCATTTTTCAAGCTGTGTTTTGCAATTAGAAGACTATTTCAGAACACTGTAGCAAAAATGGCTGAAACATTTCTCTGATGTCATGTCTGTTTCTTTTAGTCACCATTCACAACATTGTACTAGCAGCAGGAAATAGAAGATACTATCTTAATAAACCATAGTGGTTGTTGAATGTGTCCATTATGGTGGGGAGTGGGAGGGATGGGGTGGCTGGGTGATAGAGATTGGGGAGGTATGTGCTATGGTGAGCGCTGTGAATTGGGTAAGACTGTTGAATCACAGATCTGTACCTCTGAAGCAAATAACACATTATATATTAAAAAAAAAAGATAGTAGGAAGGGAGAAATGAAAGGGGGGAAATCGGAGGGGGAGATGAACCATGAGAGACTATGGACCCTGAGAAACAAACTGAGGGTTCTAGAGGGGAGTGGGGGTGGGGGGATGGGTTAGCCTGGTGATGGGTATTAAAGAGGGCACGTGCTGCATGGAGCACTGGGTGTTATGCACAAACAATGAATCATGGAACACTACATCAAAAACTAATGATGTAATGTATGGTGATTAACATAACATAATAAAAACAAAAATAAAATATAAATAAATAAATAAATAATGTGTCCATTATAAACAAAAGCAATCCCACACCGGCCCCACAAAAATTTCTTATTTTTACTCAAAACTTTTAAAAACTGTAATTGAATTGCTGTTGAGGGCAATGGACATGATGATTTTAAACAATGGACATGATGATCTGGCATATAAATAAGATTTTCATGTGTAAGTACTATTTCATAAGCCCCTTCACTGTTCCTTATAACTTTTAGTTTAGTATTGGTAATTAAAGGCAACCAATAAAATAATTTTCATCCTAACACATCATTCTACCATTATAATGTATACATAGAGCAGGTAAACTCTAATATCTCTTTACCTCAGGTTCGTTACCACAAAGGGTGCCCAGAAATATATGGAAGAATTTAGGCAATTAGAACAATTCAGAAACAATTTATTAAGCACCCATTATTCACTATGCTGGGAACCTTGGGAATAGTGCCTCCTCATAATACGATGACTGACATATAATAAATACCCCCCAAATATTGATGAATTAAAGAATAAATATGACATGACTTCTGTCCTTTAGGAACTAATACTTCAGTGGGAAGAGACAAAAACACAGATATCTGAAGAATAGGACAGAGTTCTTTAATGGAGGGGCAAACCGCTAGGGAAGTAATAAATAATTACTATAGCAGCTTAGAAGTAATATTTCGGCAGATAGTAAATCTGAAATGCTTCTTGAGTTAGGTGAGAGGTGAACAAAGTACTGAAAGTACAGAACCTCACAGAGGAGAATTGAATTGAGGAAGGACATCCCAGAGGGAAGCAAATCACTTGAATAAAAAATGAAGACAATTCAGGGAAAGGAAATACTTTGGTGGAAGGGGTTGTGGAGATATGACTTATATGTAAGGGGGTTTTCAATGAGAAGTTAAAATTTTTCTGTGTGGTAGGAAGCTCTCAAGATTCTTCAGAAGGAATGGCACAGTCAGATCTATTTTAGAGGATTATTTCAGAGGCACTGTTCAGAACAACTTGAAGAAGGTAGAGGCTGAAGGTTTGGGAGGTTGTATAGTAAAGTATGCACAAGATGGTGAGGACATGAGCCAAGGCACTGGTAGGTGAGTGGAGGAGCTCAATTTGAAAGACATCTTGCTTGTCCAAATAGATTTTGAAGATTGGTTGTTGGTGAGGATTGAGGGAAAGGGAGCAAATTTCATGTCAGAACAACTAGGGATATAGCTATTTTATAAAAGAGATATTTCCAGAATGTGTAATATTAGCAAGATGATATTGGAGGGTTCTGGTATAAATTTTGAAGAGAAGTACTTTCCAAATAATTATATTGCTTAACATACTCGGGAAAAGAATAAGACAAAGAAGTAAGTGTGAAAGGGTTGAGAGCAAAAGGTAAGTTGAAAGCCAGATACCACAAGAGGTTACAAAAGTGGCAAGAGATCAGGGAAGAGTGGCATTAAAATGTGAATAATGTCACACAGATGGGAGTCAGGAAGCACAGGAAAGTGGTGAGCAGGTTAGAATGAATGAATGTGAGAAAGCATAGAATACATGAGTTGCCCCCTTACTGTAGAGAATCCGAAGAGTAAAACAGTGCAAGAAAGATGGGCCCCATGAAGAAATGATCTAACTGGGCAACCGGTTCAGGAGGATGGGGAGCCTAGACACTGAGCACGAAGATAATAAATAGCATGTACCCTTTTAGTGAATGAATGGTCAACTTGTTAACTCTGTACTAAAATACCATGTCAATAGAAACTTGGTGAATAGATAGGAGGTAGTACTCTTTGCTATTTCCAAGAAATTAAAGTGATTTCTTTATTTTAAAAAGTGACTTCTTTATTAATAAAATTGTGGTTTATCTTATTTACCATGCTCCATCAGCCTTGCTATCATTAGTCTGTTGCTTGCACTTTGGAACCCACTAAGGTCTGTCCGTTCCATGTCTCGCCTTCCCAGGAGGCTGCAGTGGCAGGCATTGGGCGTTCGCAGGCACACTTTAGCTAAGACAAAAGGCATCTTCTCATGAGGAAACTTGAAGGGCCCTGACCTGGAAAGTGAGGCCCCATAGAGCCCACTAATTCTAGACCGAATCTAAGATTTAAATAATATAAGGGCTCCATTTAAAACAACAACAGTGACAGTTGGCAAACATTTAGGCTCTGTGGATTTAGTGGCTTAGGAAGCTTTCTATCTAGTGATTAATTCCTGCCAAGATCATTTTCATAAGCAATTGGATGAGACCTAAAGAGTCACCTCTGCTTCTGTCATATTAAAAAAAGGGGAAGCTAAATACATCCTCTGGTCTTCAAATGTGATAACACTTACCAGAATAATCGCGGGGACAAATACAAGTGTATCTTCCTATCTCATTGAGGCATGTAGCTTCATTCTTACAGGGATCTGAGACACACTCATCCACTTCCAGGTCACAGTGCCTGCCTTGATATCCTGGGACACAGAAGCAGGAATAGCCATTGATTCCATCCTGGCACATGGCCCCATTGTGGCAAGGGCTCGAAGCACACTCATCGAGATCCTTTTCACAGAACCTTCCAGTATATCCATCAGGGCAGATGCAGACAGCATGAACAGGGCCCTGATGGCAAATACCTCCGTGTTGGCAGGTGTTTGTGCCACAGAAAACAGTAGCGGTTTCACAGGTTGTCCCACTAAAACCAGGAGGACATTTGCAGAGAAAGCTCCTTCCTCCAGGGGTGTTCACACAAGTGGCATTTCCTTGACAGGGATTGGAGAAGCATGGATCTCTCATATTCTCACAGTCTTTGTCCAAATTAATGGCCACGTCTGAACAATGGCAGTTGTTGTCTTTTGAATAATCATTGCATGTAGAATTGTTTTGGCAAGAATTTGAGAGGCACGTGGTGTCATTTTTATTGCAAAAGGAACCTACAAGGAAATAAAAAATATCAAGATGAAGTTTACAAATAAATGGCTAAGGATAAAATTAAAGATCTTTTTGCTCCTGTGCCATCTCAAACTCATTAATGAAATACAGTTGGCTGCATTCTTTTGATGAACTTTATCAAATGATGTCTAATGATGAGGCTTTTCTTTAATGATTTGTCAAATCTTTTCATGTAGTTGCTAATAAGAAACAAAAATAGCTGGTTTGAGATTCTTCGCTTCTCCACTTCCCCTTCTCAGGGCCAAGTGCCACTGAGCAATGGGGTGAATTGAAGCAACTGTTAAATTGTCCTATACACATACACTTTTGAAATTCACGTTCTCTCATGGAGGATTTTGGAGTATACTGGGAAATGAGATGACAAAATTGTCTCTGAATATAGTCTAACTGAAACTAATATTTAAGTGAATGTTACAACTTGGTTTATGACTGCTGTATCACAATTATCATTTATGTTCTTTAAAAAAAAGCATAGAAAATGAAAACATTAAAATAAAATACCAACTATTTGTTGAAGCTCTACTCTTTGTACCAAGCTTGCCAGGTATTTCACATATATTATTGCTAATCCTCACAGCAACACAGTGTTATTATGTACATCTTACAGATGACAAATTAAATCCCTCTGCAAGGAAATAGATGTAGTAAAGTTTATGGAATTTGTTTTTCTAAAAGCATCTCTGTTCTAGGGATACATTTTTGAAATTCTAATTGGAATAACAACCAACAGAAAAACAATAATTCTTTAATTTTTTGCCAAATTCTTTAGATATTTGTATGTATGGAAGTTTTCCCCAAATATATATACATTATGACCGCCGCATTGTTATTTTCTTAGTCACATATATGGAGAAGCTTTATGATTTGTCAACTCAATTGTATTATCCCACAAAACACTGTCTTGCGTGTGGATTCATCTACTATATCATTCTCTTATTTTTATTTCCTTCCTCACAATATTGCTCACAAACATAGTAGCCGGCAACAGTAGAGGCTTGTAATAAAAAAAAAAAGGTACAAAATGGAGAGTTTGCTCTTAGGACATGAGACATAAATCAACTATTGTCAGAAGAAAATAGTGTGTAAACTTTGAGAGATATGTAATGATAAATCTTTTCCTTCTCTTCCTGTAAAAAAGAGAGGTGGTTCTCATAACTTGGTGTGGCCACTAACAAGGTGATGGAAAGATACTGAAAATAAATGACTAATTGGTGCCTCATACAAGAGTGAGAAGATCTAATTATCTTCTATGGAGTCTTCCTGGCAGCCAACAATTTTCCTCTAGTGCCTACACATAGAAAGTTAACATATGCTTCTATATTATCAGGAGGGTTGATCAGAAACCAAACATTTTCTACTCCCTATGAGAAAATTCAACTAACCATCCTTATACTTTAGCTTTTTTTTTTTTTTCTCCTCAGATGCTGGCTTTCCCATCACATCTTCAGATGTGATGTCCTCATGTCACTTCCTGAGCGCTTTCTTTTCTAAGTTTTATTTGCCATCTTATATATGCTGTTGTTTCTTTGTGTATATGTTTGTTTGTTTTCTGTTTTCTTCATTAGAATGTTATCTCCACGGAGGAAAAGAGACCTTGTGTCTCCATATGTTCTGCGTCTGCAACATCACCTGTCCCATTGCAGGTGCTCAATACATACTTATCATCGGAAGGAAGAGGGGAAATGTCACAACAGAAACCTGGAAGCGTGCTGTGCGATCACAGGGGCCAGGAAAAGTGTTACCAGGAAGAGGCTCAATGAAGAAAAGGCACTTGAGATGTGTTTTTCAGTGAATGCAAGTGAAGGAAGGATATAGTATTTGCAAAAGACAGAACTAAAGCATGAGAGTATTGGCATTCTCTGTCAAAAATAAGAAAAGCATGAGGGGTGTGGGGCAGCAAATGGGGAGGAATAGGAAGAAATATTTAATAAGTTCAAACTTTTTGGCAGCATTTAAATTCTTGTGTCCAAACTGAGAAAATTCAATTAAATACTGCAGTTGCCCTCTTCACCAGTAAGGGTATTTATGAATTTAGGTTTTCCATTTATTTTTGTTTTGTTAGTGATGATGGTGATGGTTTTTTTCCTTCCTTTAATAATCAAGCATTATCATTTAAGCTATGAAATGAAGCATTTGTGTGGAAAGACAGCAAAGGAAATTAGCATTTATACCCGAGGCCCCTCCAATGCAACTTTTAAAATGGATTTCTTATAATGTTTGTGTATAGCATTTTACCAGATGGAAAGCTAAGTTTTATAAGGACTAAGCCATTTGCATAGTGTCAAAGAGAGGTAGGATTTGAACCTCTGGTTTGTCCATTTCTTTTTACTGCATTCTTTTAGAAGTTAAGATACTTATTGGGTAGAGTTTCTTACGTAAACATGATGATATTCACATTAAATGTTTAATTCTCTTCCTTTCCAAAATTCTGGGAAAGACATAAAGGATAGCAAGTAAGCATATTGAAAAATGCTCAACATCATTTACCATTAGGGAAACAGAAATTCGAAACAATATCTAGAATGGCCACTAGAATGGCCAAATGACAAAAATTGGCAATACCAGGTATTGACAGGAAGTGGAGAAATGGAAGTCTCTCTCATGCCCTCTCTCTCTAACTAATCATTCTTGCCTATATGCTACCAGTTGTATTAGTGTTTTCAAATATTGGCCTTTGACTTTATATAGTTTACCTATAATACCTTTGTTTTCTATCCTAGATTTCTGTTTTTGCCTTTTTATTTTCTTAATTCTTCTTGCTTTGGGTTTAATTGCTATTTATTCTTTCAAGTATTCCTAATTTATTAATTTAGGACTAAAAATTTCTGTGTAAAACAAGCACAGCTTTACTGCATTTCTTATAAGTTTATTTTCGATATCATTCAAATAAAAATATTTTCTAATTTTCATGGTGATTTCTTCTTTGACCTATGGAAAAAATCTATAAAAATCAATTACATCAAATTGTTAACTGTGTTATTCGGAACTTCTATAGCATTGGGGTTTTTTTCTACTATTTCTCTTCATTGAGATTGATGCATTGAAATCTCCTATAGTGAATATGAAGTTCCTATTTCTTCTTTTAGTTCTGACAATTTTCACTTCTATATTCTGAAGCTATGTTCTTATGTTCATAGAAATTTAAAATGGTTATATCGTCCTGCTGGTTTGACTCTCGTATATTCATACAATATCCTTTTTATCTATAATGCATCATACCTTAAAAGACTACTTTTCCTGTTGTTGTACTGCTGTGTCAGTCATATATCAGTCATATATCTCCTACATGGCTGGTGGGAATGCAAAATGGTGCACCCACCCTGGAAAACAGTTTCCAAGTGTCTTATTAATTTAAACATACACTTATTCAGCAATTCCACACCTAGATATTTCCCCCAAGAAAACAAAAACAAGGTCCACACAAAAACTTGCTTTCGAAATTCATAGTGGCTTTATTCATAATGCCAACACTGGAAAAAAATCCAAATATTCATCAGCTGGGAAATAAATTTTAATATATCACACACTGGGCTACTACTCAGGAATAAAATGGGCAAATTACTGACCCAGTGAACAACATGGAGGAATGTTTAAAGTATTATGTTAAGTAAGAGAAACCAGACACAAAGACTGTCGCTGTATGATTCAATTTTATGACATTCTAGAGAAGGCAAAGTTATAATGATGGAAAGCAGCTCAGTGGTCACCAGGAAATGGAGGTGGGTTAAGGGAACTAACTGTAAAGGGGCATGAAGGAGTTTTTATGGAAACATTCTGTGTCATGATTGTGGTAATAGTTATTGACCATAGGCGTTTGCCAATGAAATTGGGTTAATGTTATTGTATGTAAATGATACCTCAATAAATCAGACCAAACAAACAAAAAAAAAAGCCCTAGAAAAAAAGGATAAAAAGGGATGAAATTACCATATTCACAAGAGCCAGAAGAGAGGTTGAGGGGACAGCAATAAATACCCATAAACATACACTCATACATAAAGGGAAGCTAGGCTGCAGGTGGGTGAGTTGTAAAAGACTTAGCTTACCAGAATAAGCAAAACCCCAGCTGAGAGAAACCTAGAAGCAAGACAGTTTATGCAGTAGAACCCTCAAAAGTTTCAGGAATTAGAGGCTCCATGTACTCAAGTGGTGCTGAAAATGGAGAGGTTTTTTGGAAAACTTACCAAAAGCACAGTTTGATTCTCATATCCCATTTTTTAGCCCAGGAAACTACGTGATGGCCCTTCTCGCATGACGGGGATTCAAAGGCACGAGCACAACTAGTGGGAGTGGCCGGGTCTGATTTGATAATGGGGATGAAGTGAATGTCTACATAAAGAATTGTGAGACACTCCCAACCTCATTTTCAATTCAGTTCTAAAAATGCCAGCGGCCAGGGGCGCCTGGGTCGCCCAGTCTTTGGGCGTCTGCCTTCGGCTCAGGTCATGATCCCAGGGTCCTGGGATCAAGCCCCACATCGTGCTCTCCCACTCCCCCTGCTTGTGTTCCCTCTCTCGCTGTGTCTCTCTCTGTCAAATAAATAAAATCTTTAAAAACATAAATAAAAATAAAAATGCCAGCAGCCAGATTTACTCCCCAAGCAGGAAATAATTTCTTCTCTTAACCAGCCCGAGAGAAAATATTTACAGATGCTGATATTGGGTGTCACCCATTGAAATGAGCCAGCCCAATCACTGCAGAATAAATCCTAGTAAGCTAGAAAGCTCTGTAACATGAAATAGAAGTGCTTTCAAATAGCTCTTTTAAACAAACACAGGCATAAGGGTATAGATGAACTATATATATATATATATATATATATATATATATGCATTACTGTCGTT